GGGTAGAATGAAATTAATGACACAAACTAAAGGGGACCATAAACGACGCACTCTAAACAGGCTCTTAAATACACCTTCAAACAGAAGCTCTAAAGGTAAATGAGCCAAAAACAGACCCAGATGGTAACTCAGAACACATGAAGTAGAGCTAAAGGGTTCCATGATACAGCAGGACAAAGGTACGAGTAACACAAGTCTGTGCCTTTAAGTACACACTAATCAGCATCTCCACACAGATACATACTCACACTTACAGCTGCTGAAGTTGACCAACTTTGAGCTCTGAAAGCTCAACTAAAACATTCAGACCTGAAACAGACTCTCGAGTTGACCTGTAGAAGTTGTTGAATTCTACGATGAAACTATGAGGAACCCTGAAATAACAACTGTCACTGCACCTTCAAATCAGACCCGGAATCATTTCCTTCAACTATCAGGAAAGTGAACAGAGGAGAACCTTAAACTGGAGCTGATGGGAAGTCAAAAGAGGTCGTTAAATAAATCTGAAAACAAACACTGAGGGACCCCTGAAACAGATCCTTCACCTGGTCCCACCAAACTGTCACTCAATGAAGCCTCGAAAGAAGAATTAAAGAAAGTTAACGTTAAATAAATCCTAAAAAACTGTTTCAGGAAACAGCTACACCTTCAATCTTTTGACTCAGAGACGTCACTTCAGGGTGCGAACTCAGATACAGACAGACACAGACACGAGTGTGTATGACCGTTAGTCAGACTTCACACGCAGCTTTGTATGAGGAGAGATTGTACTTATTGTCGCCTCGGCGTTTGTTTGTTTGGGCGGGAGGTCAGCTGTCTCAACAATGAAACCATATGGACCATCACACACTTCTACAGTAGGCCACTGGGTCAGCTGGGAGTGTGTGTGTGTGTGTGTGTGTGTGTGTGTCCGCTGAGTGCTCTTCAAACTGATTAGCAGCCTGATGTGTCCCGATCACAGCAGCCGCTCAGTTCCCACACACACACACACACAAAGAGGAAACGCTCATGAGCTGAACATAATACAATTACAGAAGTGATGTTGATGCTTGTGTGTGGATATGGGAGGGGGGGGCAGCTGTCAATCATCTGTCCTGAGGAGGAGGAGGAGGAGTCTGTCCTAGAGTCCACAAACCTGAGATCTACAAACACACCTCCTTCATCCTAAACCTGATTTCAGATCGCAGCACAGACTGAAACCTTCACAAATCTATGAGAGGGTGAACTTTGACCCCCAGCTACCCCCTCCTCTCTGGTGTTTGGCTTCACTAGTCTGCACCAGTCTCTGACTTTCAGTAAATCCTCGACATTCCTTCAACATTTATCTACACAGAAACTCAGAAACTCCCACTTTCAGGAGAGCGGAGCTGTGAGTGAGACGGTTTCATTTTCTTCAAGATACAAATCAGAAAACCAGAATTAAAATAAAAATAAAAAATAAGTCCAAACAGGTTCAGCTGGACCGGGGCGTTAATGAGCATCAACAACACAAACATCATCCCTTTAACTCTTACTGTTTTTGATCCAGGTTCAGACTTCTGTGCCAGCGGGCGACAGGAACTTTAAGGCTCAGACACTCCTAAAGAATGTAAAGCCTCTTTCACACTCAAAGTCTGAACGTTTCTTAGATTATTTCACCACATTTAGGTCATAAAGTTGACTGTTTTCACACGTGGACCCAACAGCAGGAAGTTTTTAGTTCCTACAGCACGGCAGGTCAGAGTCTTCCAGAGTTAACATCCCTGTAACAAACTGAATGTTTCCACAATACAGAGGCGAGTGCAGAAGATTTTCCTGACTCTTATCTGCTGAGTTTTTACTGAGGGCTGCTGGGAAAAGTCCGGACAAGGTCAGGGTTTGTGTTTTCAAAAAGTCAGAAAATTTCAGGTGTTTTTTACATTTTTAAAAAGGCTGCATCGTTTGTTTTTTATGTCTGGATCAGAAATTATCTGTGTCAGCAGGTAACAGGAAGTGCTCAGTTTGGCTTATATGATGAGGTTTCCTTAATAAAGGAGGAGGAGGAAGAGGAGGAGGAGGAGGAGGAGGAGGAGGAGGAGGAGGAAGAGGAGGAGGAGGAGGAGTCCTCAGTGACGGTGTCTGTTTCTTGGTTAGCATCACTGTAACGGTCACAAGGTCATTTCTGCAAAAACAAACCCTGCAGCAGAAACAGGATATAAACGGACAGTAAAACAGGGGAACTCCGCTTAAACGCATCATCATAGCTCCGCCCACTCACTCAGGTGAATGTACACAGGTAGAGCGTCTGTGAGTAGGCATGTAGGTGAACTTTCCCATCCTATAGTTTTTGTTTCATTTTCACAAAAGTTTTTAAAAAATTAGATAATTTTTCATTTTCATAATTTTATTTTCTACTATTCCTGACATTCACTGTCATCCAATCAGGAGAGCCCTTACTAAGAGACAGTATCCAGGTGCTTCATGAGAAACTAAATCAGCTGTGTCATCTCTGTCATGGCGGCGGTGGTGTAAAAGTTTGAATGAATCTCGTTAACCAACGACCAATTAAATCCCAGCTGACCTCCAGAGTCTCTGGTTTGTCAGACGAACATGAGGGAGAAGAAGACTGACCGCTCCACTCTCATTAAAATAACATGCGGTTGTTATTGTGCTGCAGAAACAGAGGAGGGGGAGGAGGAGGGGGTGAGGACCACGACGAGACGGGCCCCGGTTTGGGGACAGTGGCCCTGCAGGACTCCAGACCAGGACGCAGTCAACCAAAGAACCAAAGAGGAGGAGGAGGAGGAGGAGAGGAAGGGAGGGAAGGAGGAGGCCAAAACCAGATGAAAGGAGGAGGGGGGAGGGCGTCTGTCCTCCACCTTTAGGACGGGAGGGGAGGGGGGACACACTTCAAACAGTTTACACAGTGACATATTTACTGAGTCTGTCAGTTCCTCTGTGAAGGTTTAAGGTTTGTCCTTTTTCAGACGGATAACGATAAAGACGAAACAGCTTCAGCTCCTGATTCTCCTGCAGTTTAACCTTGAGAATCAAACGTGTCTGAAATGATCTGATCATGAAGTTAAAACTCAGGAAAACAAACAGAAGAGAGAAAGACTGAGAGAAACCCAGACTGATCCGGTCTGAACAAAGATCTTACAGGTTCGTTCTTTTTAAACTTTGGTTTCTCAGAATCAAAGAGTCTCATTAACGAACACTTTAAAAGCTCAGGAGTCGCTCTGCTGGATTGTTTCAGCCTGCAGCTCTGTAATCGCTGCTGCAGCACGCTTCGCTGAAAATGGGCCAGTTTGAAGTACGACCACAAAAAAAGGGTTTTTGTTCAGTCTGAAGGGTGTGAATATTTTTATTAAACACAGAACTTTTCTCCCTAACGCCTTTATAAACACTTTCATTTATCACACCTGAAGTTTTTTAAAGTTAAAGATCAGTGTTTACTTCCTGTTCCCACTAAAGAGGACTCTGAATAAGCATGTGCACAATGTTCCCCCATGGCGTTGGACAGATAACATCATATCACCACCTTCTGTACTGAGCGTGACTGTGGTTTTAAATGTCCAAACTTTCTGCTCCTCTCTGACAAACAGACTCAGGCTTTAAAAGACTGAAACTCCCCTTTAACTAAAGACCCGGACAGTCATGAAAAAGCCTTCCTCAGTAATGACACGTGACGGAAACCACTGGAGAAAATCCATCACAACACAAACTGTCGTTCAGGACTTCTCGAGGTTTTCTGTGAGAGGACAGGACAGTCAGAGCTGCAGATCTCAGATCAGCTGATCTGAGGACACACTGTCTGTCAGAGAGGAAAACAATAACAAGTAAACGGCCTGATTCAGTGAGAGAGGACGCACCGTCTCCCAGCTGAGTCAGTGAGTGTGGAGTCTGTGACAGAAGAGAACTCTGATATCTGTAAACCACAACATGAATCCCTCAGAAACACAGCTGGGATCAAAAGTTCCTGTTTTTTTGTCCCTGTTAAATGAAAACAGAAGCTTGTGTCCTCTTTCTACCAGCAGTTCTCAGTAAACGGACCGAGCTGAGTAGACTTCATACACCTGTCAGACACCTGCTCTGGAGCTTCACTCAGAACTTCATGTAAACACACTGACAGTTTTTGTTCATCAAGTATGAAGTCAAAAACACACCAAGCTCAACGTCTCAGTCTGATTAACCTTAGTGGGTCCTAAAGTGACCAAAACGATCTGAGCGTGCTCATCAGATCATACGCCAGACTCTGATCTAGAAGTCCAACAGCAGAAACGCACAGACAGAAGCAATCAAACCCTGAACAGAATAAGTCAACAAGACGGAGACAAAGGAAACACTAGCAGCGTTTGACATGACATGAAAACAGCAGAACAACTCTTTAACCGTGCGTCTGAGAGAAAAGTCCAAACATGCAAAATCAAAGATCTCGTTAAGATACATGTGCAGATCGGAAAAAGACGACGTTTGTGGCGCTCTGTAGGGGGGGGGCTAGTGAGCCATTTTTTAATCGCTTTTTTGGGGGTCTTTTTTTGGTGAGTTTTTGAGGTCGTTCAGGGGGTCAAATTTACGTTTTCGGAGGCCGTAAAATAATAGTAATCGAGGACCCTTTGGATTAGACGGGCCTCCTCGTTTCCTGTTTTTAAATCCCTTTTAAAAACTCACTTTTATTCCTTGGCCTTTAATACATTTTAGTGTTATTTTGTTTGCTATCAACTTAGCACTTGCCGTGAACCTGCTTATTTATAGATTTATTTACTTACTGCATTTCTGTATTTTTGCTCGCTCTATCTTGTTCTTTGCTTGTTTTATTTCTTTTTATGTCGCAATGTCCAACACTTTGGCTTCCCCCGTGGTTCTTTTAAATGTGCTATAGAAACAAAGTTGATTGATTTATTGATTGATTGATTACAACAGGGCTCCGTCACAGAGCTGTGCTCTCGGCTCGGGCCCTAATAATTATCCGTATATCTGTTTAGTTTTCCATCTGTTCACCATTCAACACAGTTAGCTTAGGTTAGTTAGCAGTTAGCTTTAGCAGAGTTGTTTGTTGATTGTTTTGGTGTGTGATCTAAGAGCTCATTCAGAAGATGGTGGTTCAATAACATCTTCACCCAAATACATTTTACATTCCTGTAAATAAAACTAACAGAGCTGTGAGTCTAAGAACTCTAGTCCACATTTTAAAGACCTGCCTGGTTGTCAGAACAGAAACTAAACTGATTCAGATCTCAGTCCCTGGACTGATGAAGCCCCGAGTTCCTCAGATGGGTCTGAGTCCCTGGGGAAAGTTCCTTCTGAGGCTTAAATGTCAATCAATTCTCTCCCAGATGCCTCTTTTTTTTGTTCATGGTCTTTTACTTTGAATATATTAAATAAAAAGACGACAAACCGAGTCTCTAAAAATTTAAAACGGCGGTCTTTGAGCTCGGAGAGTTTCATCTGAACTGGACTCTGAGTTCATCTTCTCACATCAGAGGAAAACACTTGGAGCTAGCGTCTGTTAGCATGATCAGGTCCACTTAACTTTGTGCTGGAGCAAAGTTAACCTCACGCCAAACACACACACACACATACACACACACTACCATCACTCGCACGCACACACACACACAGAGTGAGGGAGGGAGAAAGGCGAGAGAGCAGAGCGGCTTTCAAATCAAAGAATGTGGAGTCAAACTGACGCCATCTACATATCCAACTGAATCACTGTAACAGACACACACAGACCCACACACCGACTACACAACTACACAATAAAACAGCTGTACGACGTCCAAACAACACAACTTCAGAGCGACTGTGTGTGAAAATGTGTTTTTATGTGTGAACAAATGTGTGTATCCTACCTCGGTGTGTCCCGTTGGAGCGCAGCAGCCTGACTGAAGCGAGCCGAGAGCAGCAGCCGGCCACACACACACACACACACACACACACACACACACACTATACACTCACAAACACACTTTTAGACCACCCCCCCACCTCATTCACAGGCTGAATGGCAGATGGGCGGCCCCAGGAGGAGGACGGGGCAGGGGGAGGGTGGGTCACCACGGCAACAAAGACTTGGTGAAAGGAGTGAAAGGAGGAAGGAGGGAAAACTTGGCGCTGGAGTGATACCTGGACTACACAAACACACACTCAAACACACACAGATGAAAACACACACACACAAACGTTTAAAGAAAAGCTTTTCCTCTTTCTGACAAATCCATGAAGTGAAGATTTCAGCTGAGAGGAAAGACTGTAAGTGTGTGTGTGTGTGTGTGTGTGTGTGTGTGTGTGTGTGTGCGTGTGCGTGTCAGGTCAATATATCAGGCGGTCAGTGCTCATCAGAGTGTGAACTTCACAATAAACCACAGTCACTTCACTGCACTGATTAAAACACGCAGACTGGAGATGAGACCAAACACTGAAGTTTAAGATTTAAGGTTTAGAGAAGAGATCACGACTCTTAAAAACTTAGATCTTGACGATTTTTTAACCTTTTTGATTTATTCCTTCTGTCCAGGTGACTCGATCTCTTTTTCCACTCGATAGTAAAGTCAGAGGAGTAAATATAAACAGCCAAAGAACGATCACCGTAAGGATTAGTTGTCGTTAAGTTTTCCGATACGTCTCTCCTTTCTCTTCTCTCATGTAAAAGTTCATGCAACAGACAGAAATGCATCAATGATTTTCAAACAGACTTCAGCAGGATGGATGCCCGGGTCTCCTCTGTGTGGGAAACTCTTCTCAGCTCTTATATTTGTGCACTTCTATTCAGTCACAGATCTAAGAGACATGATTATATCAAAAAAAGATCAAAATCGAACGCAGACAGCGACCCTGAGTCATCTTTGGAGACAGATATAACGCCACACTGAAAGTTAAAGACTGCAGTTCCCTGAGTGTCCACTGGAGGCTGGCTGCAAAAGCACAACAACTCACATACACACCCATTCAAAACAGCCAAACTTTAAGGCAAAAATTAACATGTTTATAACTTGGTACAGAAAAACACTTTCAGCCTTTGAAGCACTTTTTTTTTTATCCGCACACACACTGGGGGGTGAAGTGTTTCGTAACACGTTAGTATTTCCGATAGCTAGGTTCAGATTTTGCATTAGCAGGTTTACGACTGACTCGACAGATTTCATCTATTTTTATGTAAATTTTCTGGCAGTTTAAGATCGCAGACCGAAACCCTCTAGAAACTGTGGGGTCAGTGTGGAGGAGTGAAGCCAAGAGCAGAACATTTACAGGTCTCTGTCTTTTATTGTATTTTTATATTTCCTGGTGTTTTATCATGCTCTTATTTCTAACTTTATTTGATCTTTTTTTATATTTTATCTGTTGTGCAGCACTTTGGTAACCTTGCTGTTTTTAAAATGTACTTTACAAATTAAGGTGGATTGGAATAATTACACGAGTTGGTCAGGATCTATAATCGTGAGTGGGCCTGTATGACACCCAAAGGTGAGACGACTTTGGCTTTTGTTGAAGAATTGACGCAGTTCGACTTTTCTGTTAGACGTTATCTCAATGTCCTGATGCGACCAAACTCACTGAACCAAACTCTGATTAGAAATCGAGCGTGTAAGAGATGTTTGTCTCTCACAGATGGATGAAATAAACAAACTCAGACTCTTGACATATCTGAATCGTGACGTAGTTGTTTCTCTTCCATGCGAATAAATCAGAGCAAACTCTGCGACAGGAAGGAGGAAGATAAACAAGCTTTAAGTATCTGAAGGTAAAAGAGAGAGTGACATGAACCTCTGCTGAAGAAGTTTAGATCCTGTTTCAGTCCGATCACATCTGAGATTCGGACAGAAATGACGTCCTGACAGAAACTGTTCGAATCATGATGTTTGCACACACCCTCGTCTCTCCCTCCTACAGTTCAGGGTCACACAGACAAAGACCACCACCCCCTCCACACCCATTTACAACAGGCAGGGTCCAGTATACAAAACAATATTGACACTCTCCTCCCTCCTCACCCAAACCTCCCCCCTTGGCCTCAATACAAGCTGTCAGTTTCCCTGCAGGAAGACGATCTGAGGAGGAGGAGGAGGAGGAGGAGGTGATGTGTAAAAGCTTCATCGGACAGACGTGAAGACAGAGACGGGGGTCTCTATCAGGATCATGACAGTCTTTGTTTTAAGGTGGAGAAGAGAAAGTTGACAATCATGATGGCGGATGTGTAAAAAAGTACTGTTGAAGAGCGTCACTGTGATATCCTAACCCCAACTTTACATCTAAATATCGATGTAATACTGTATTTTCATGAAACACCAGGAAGGTCAGTGTTTAATTATTGATCATGATCTGATTAAGATCCAAAATTTACATGTCATATCTTATTTATCACATGCACTTTCCTCTCCTTTAACACACACCGCACAGTTGTCCTGCCAACATGACGGTAAATCAACACTGCTGTACTTCTTCTTCTGAACGACACCTTTCCCTTTGACACTCAGGGTCTGTGTGTGAATTAATGAACTATTGTTAATTTGGATTCATGCAGTAGTGCCAGTCTTCAAACCAGTTTTAAATTAAAGTAAAAACTGCTGGATAAGATGATGACGATACTGAGAGCTGAAGCAGAAACAGAGACACTGCAGAGCTGCTAAAGGAAACATCCAAACCAGAGACTGACTGACATCATTGTGGTCACACTGACAAAATCCACAGTGAGACCCTTTTTTTATCAATAAATCCAGAGTAAAATAAGAATACAAAAACACAGATATCACACTGAGATTCATTAAAGGTCGAGCTGCGTCTACTCAGGTGTTTAAAGGTCACACACTGAAATCGTACCTGGTCCAAGAAGCGGTAGAGGCAGACGGCCCGTTCGATGTTCTTCCCCGTTATTTTGACCCGCTGAGAAAAATCCTGAAGCTTGGCCCAGAACGAATGAACTTTGACCTCGTAGACGCGCAGATCAGCTGATGACACGTCGTTCCAACGCTCCAGACGACTCAACAACTCCTCGCCCTGTCTGCAGTGGTCCTGAAGAGGGAGAGGAGAAGAGAAGTGGTCAGAATCATATCGACGTGTTTGTCTTCAGCAGTGTGTGTGTGTGTGTGTGTGTGTGTGTGTGTGACGTACGTATGCAGTGGTGTGGAAATCTTTGAAGTCTTGTTGTTTTTTATTCAGAAGCTCCAGAGAATCATCAGGTTCATTCAGACTCTTCAGACGAACCTCGCCGACCTCCTCCAGCCACGACCTCACCTGAAATCAGAGCGCAGCAGAAGAAACCAGCTGTCATCAGTCTGACATGTTGATAAATCTGTTTACGTTAATATCATCACAAAGTTCGAGTTCCTCCATCATGACTGACTGACCTGGGTGAAGCCCTCCTCCAGTCGGCTGAACTCCAGGATGAAGTTCAGCTCCTGGGTCCTGGAGTTGGACAGCGTCACCAGGCGGTGAAGAAGCTCGTCCACCTCGTTGTAGAGAGTCGACACCGATTCCACCGCCGCCCGATAATCTTCAGTCTCGCCGAGGCCGCTATCCTCTCTGCGGAGCCGTGACAACAAGGCTCCGCCCTCCTGCTGCAACTGCACCAATCGGCTGTCCTCCAGAATGCTCAGCATCACCGCCTTGTACCTGGACAACTGCAGCTCGGCATCCTGGGAAAAAGAGGCGGAAGTTTGTTTTTGATGGAGCTGCTCCGTCACCATGACATCCACCTCTGTGTGTGTTTCAGTGTGTGTGTGTGTGTGTGTTCATTACCTGAGCTTCAGCAGGTAAAGGTGTGGACTGCAGGATGTTGATGTTTTTCTGCAGCAGGTTAATGACATCTTCACATTGTCTGGTCAGCTGCTCCACTCTCTGATGGACACAAACACACGAGAGAAGTTGGAGAAACACCTCAGGAAATAAAAATATCATAAAAAAATTATTAAAACGGAACTTTCATATCAAAGTGCAGCTCTAAAAAATTCAATTTTTAAATTATCTAATTTAAAAAGTGAAGATCTGAATAATCTCGATTCATCAAACACAAAGTGAAGATTTCTTTGTTTGAATCTTGGTGATTATGACTTACAGCTCTCAAAAATCAATAATCTATGATCTCAAAACACCTGAATATTAAAAACACAGACTAAAAGAAAAGGATTTTAAATAAGTAATGTCATTTATACGTTCAGTATTTGGTCAGGGCTCCTTTTGCAATAGTAATTACATGGATGCGACGTGGCATGAAGGTAATCGTGCACCTAAATATGTAAAAATCAGGCCTGAGGTTTGAAAAACACTGTTAAGATGGTGGTTGCTGGTGTTCAGTCGGCTCATGGTTTTGATAAATCACTGCACAAGATTTTTTCTTTAATAAAAGAGTAGAAACTCTGAGTTAGGAGCGACTAAAGTAACTCAGGCTTCTGTAAAAAAAAACCTTCACTTTTCTCAGATTTCTTAAAAAGTCCCCGTGGCTCATGTTGTTTCTGTGAGTTCTCTGCAGATCACTGACCGATCTGAAGCAGAGCCAGCTGCTCTGACTGAAGCTGAAGGATCCTCCAAACTCAGCAGGAAGCTGCCGCAGCTCCACGTGTTTCTGAACCGACTTCAGAGAGTTCACCACCTCCACCTGAAACACAAACACGCACACAAACACACACGTGAACTTTGTTTGAACAAAATCTAGTGAGCTGAAGGTGTAACTGTGTGTGTGTCTGTGTGTGTAACTGTGTGTGTTTGTGTGATGTTACCTGTAGAGCTGCTGCAGGTTTGTCCAGGCGCAGAGACGAGTCCTTGTTGATGAGCAGCAGCACAGAGTGGATGGAGCCGGGGATGTTCTCCTGCAAACACAAAGGAAAGGAACTCAACACGTCAGGGGAAGTTTGATAGGAAACAGTTTGGAAACAGACATTAAAATCAAACATAAAGTCGACGCTGACACATGATTGGCTCCTCCTGAGGTGAACGTGCCTGTGTGGGTTTGATGTGTGTCTGTGTGGGTTTGATGTGTGTCTGTGTGGGTTTGGTGTGTCTGTGTGTGTTTGGTGTGGGTGGGTTGTGTGTGTCTGTGTGGAGTCAAAGATAAACAGCCGGTCTGTGTGTCAAACAAAACAACCTGGATGACTGTGTGTGAACCGCCTGGAGGTTTACTGGGTCTGCCAGCCGTTCAGGCTGCAGTTTGTATCATCAGAGGTTCCTGTACAGTTAAGAGTCTAACTGTTGTTTGGTAGAAGACAGCAGGACAGAGGACATCGTCAAACCCAGAGCCCTTCAATAATGAGCAACTGTCGCCCTCTGCTGGACCAGAGAGTAACATCAGCTGCACAAACCACAGGGTCTTGGACCTGCAGCCGGTCTAGATCACTGATTATTCTGGACTTGATGATCCTTAATGACCTCTAAGATCTCCTGAAGGTTTTGCAAATACAAGAAAACCAGCCGCTCTGTCTTTTTAAACTTAATTTCAGCACCGAACCGCAAAAGTCAGAGACACTGACTCCACCCTCGCAAATGTCAACATCACTTTTTTTTTAAATTATTTGATTTATTTCCACTTTATGTTAAGTTTGTTTTTTTCTGGATTTGATCTTCCTCTGCAGCTGGTGCCTCGTTTAGTTTGTAATTTTGAACGCTCGGTTTTCTCAGTGTTTCTGCAGGTTCTGGTTATAAAGAGAAGACCTAAAAGTGGAGGCGACTTGACAGGAGAACCAACAGACAGTTTGTGGTTCAAAGTAGGTTTTGAAGTAAATATAAGGTCCTACTTTTCTCTGTCTTTACCTCCACGAGTCTCCGGTCAAACTCACCTGTAGAGATCTGAGGGCAGAGAACAGGACAGGAAGAGGAGCAGCTCTGCGGGCGTCCACCAGCACCGTCAGTCCTAACGCCATCACCTCCTTCCTGTTTCACCACAAAAACAAAAATGAGGTCAGAGAGACGTTACAGGGTTGAGTTTACGGAGTAAACCTGGAGCTGTTCTTACCTGAGGGTGGAGGTGTAGTAGAGCAGGAGGCGGAGCAGCTCTGCGCTCTCACAGTCAGGGTTTGACCACACGGGGTTCTTGGTGCAGATGGTCAGCAGAGGCCGACCGCTTCTGTCTCTAGTTCCTGTGTGAGGAGGAACACAGAAGAATCATGTTCAGAGGTCTGATTAAACCGAACGACGCTCACAACCATCCAAAATAACCGAGGTATTTTCTCACCTGGCAAACAAAGAGCTGCAGAGTTTCGCAGCACGTTGTAAAAGTTCGTCTGGTGGGACTGGTGGGACTTGGAGGACTGGGAGAAGCGTACTGGGACCGCAGTCACAGCTGGAAGTGGTTCTGGTTCTGCTGGACTTGGATTATCAGGCAGATCAACGTGTGACTGAGCAGGAGGAGGCTGACTGTTGAGACCTGAGAAGAGAAGACACACCAACCCTGATTATGAATCAGCATGTGACACAAATATTACTTTAGTTCAAGAGTTATCAGCACAGTCTGCAGAGACAGACACTTCATATGATTTTAGAGGTTTCACTTTAACTCATCGGATCAATTCAAAGATTTATTGCCGTTTCTGAGCAGGACTGACTCCATCAAATCTGACAACACGTCCTGCGGCTCTTTCAAGCTGTTTGAAGACGACAGGAAAATTAAGTGTTTGAAGTAAACAGCCAGAGGGAGGAGACGATCAGCTGGTGTTGGTTTAGATTTAATGTCTGACTAAACCTGCGAATCTTGAGTTGGTAACTGTTTGACTTCAGACGAAGAATGAACTTTTATCTTTATATGATGAAACTCCCAGTTTATTTAAAGGTAAAGGAGAAAAATCCATTAACCGGCTCACTACTGCAGCCTGCTGACTACTGGACTTAATTGAGATGTTTCGCCGAAACGGACAAGTGATATTAAGCCCATGCGGTGACTCAAACTACAGAGTCCTTCTGCTCCTAAACCTGTAGATACTGTTCAGCATTAATGAAGCCTTCACTGATGTGGAAAAACCTGCATTTATAGAAACACTGACAAACTGTGTTCACAGATAATGGTTTTGGATGTAATTCTGAGCCTATGCGGTGATTTCCACTACAGAGCCATTTGGATTTTTAATTGTTGAAAGATGATAGCCCACGCTGCTGATGCTGAGGACCATAAATGCTTCTCTGAAACCTGGTGCTGGCATCTAATCTAAACAGCATCTATGTTTGTCATCTATGTTGTTTGTCGTCTTTGCACCATTTTCTTTAAATTAAGAGAAAAAACATCAAATTCTTGTTTTTATAATAAACACTTTCGTCAGAGAGTTTGAAGAGGTGCATGAGGAAGGAGGTAAAAGAGGAGGACGAAGAGGAGGAGGAGGATGAGGATGGTGACAGCCAATCAGAGGAGGAACAGGAGTGGAGGGAGGAGGAGGAGGAGGAGGAGGTGGTGATAAATGAGGAGAGTTTTTGGGATGGACAGCAGGACAAGGAAAAAAGGGGAGTGATGAGGAGAGACAGGTTTCTGTACCTTCAGTTTGAAGCTCTGCAGTTCTTCCTCCTCCACCAACCTCCTCACAGCAGCACTTCTCCTCCTCCTCCTCCTTCTTCTTCTCCTCCTCTTCAAGCTTCTCCTGTGAGTTTTCAGGTCCCTCAGGTCCAGTCCTGTGGGGGTCCGGATCCACGGCTGGTGTTTCAGACTCTTGAGGATGTGGTTTAGAGTCTTCAGAGTTCGTTTCATAATAACAGTCTTCAGAGTGTTTGTGTTTTTCTATGTGCACGTTGTTTTCAAAATAAGAGTCCTTACAGGGTGCGTGGTTATTATTTTCAGAATAAGAGTCCTTAGAGGGTGTGTGGTTATTATTTTCAGAATAAGAGTCTTCATAGTATGAGTGTATCGTGTTCTTTTCAGAATAAGAGTCCTCTGAGAGTTTTTGCTGAGAGTCTCCTTCACAATAAGAGCCCTCAGAGAGTTTAGGAGGTGTGTTGGAGTTTTCAGAGCGTGTGTGCTGTGTGTCGCTTTCAAAATAAGAGCCCTCAGCTTGTGCGTAAACCTCCTGGTCCGTGTGCTCCTCTTCACCTCCTCTATTCTCTCCTTCTTCCTCTCTCATCCCTTTCTCCACCTCCTCGCTCCTCCTATCTTGACTGTGCTGCACGATTATAAACTGAACCTCCTCCTCCACCTCCACCTCCTCTGCTTCATCTTCATCCTCTTCCTCCTCTGTCTCACTTTCACACTCCTCCTTCTCACCTCCTTCCTCAGCTGTATGTGAGAGCAGGAGTAAACCCTCACTCCTCCTATCATCTAAATCCTTCCTCCTGCCCTCACCCTCATCATCATCATCATCTAACACCTCCACTTCCTTCTTCTCCTTCTCCCTCTCTCTCAGCTCTTCCTCCTCTTCTCTCTCTCCTTCTATCTCACCCTCTTTCTCTCTCTCTCCCTCGTCCTCCTCCCTCCTTCTCTCTCCAGGTTCAGAGCCTGTATCAGTACCTTCAGTTCGCTCCGCTGACGTCTCCTGCTCAGACGGACAGTCGGAGGTTTCCACCCCTGCAGGAGGAGCAGCCGTGGAGGAGGAGGAGGAGGGGGAGATGGGGGTGAGGATGATGGGTCCAGGTAAATCCTGGTTCAGGTTCTCCTCGATGAGCCTGGTGCACAGTTCGGTGTGTGAGCTGACCTCCTCACGGGTGTGTGTGTTGTGTGTGTTTTGTGTGTTAGCAGCAGCAGTGTGTGTGTCGGTGGTCGGAGGCGTGGCGGGGGTTTTCGTGGTCGTGGGGGAGTTCTGTGGGGTGCTGGTTCTGGCTCGGAGCTGCAGGCTGATGGACTGGGTTAAGGATCCTTTCTGAGGGGAGAAGCGGGGCAGAGGGAGCTCCGACAGCTCCACGTACTCGCCCTCCGAGTCCGAGTCATCGCTGCTGGCCTGTGATTGGTCAGTTTTTGTGGAAGCTGGGAGGAGCTTCACGTCCTGTCCTGAGGTTTCTCGACACTGATTGGTTGAAGTATTAATGAACAAATCTCCATCTTGAACTGATGACTTCTTCTCCTCCTTCAGAGAGGTCTGCGGCCGGCTGATGAATTGTGGGTAGACCACGTCCTCCCAGGGGACCCTGAAGACGTCCCCGTTGGCGGTGAGGAGGCAGCGCTCCAGCCTGGGCGCTCCTCGCTGCTCCTTCTCCCTGTTGACGGAGTCCAGCCAGGCCATGCTGAAGAGGGAGCGCAGGGCTAACTCTGACACCTCCTGCTGCTCCACATGGTGGCCGCCGGCCGACACGCTGCACAGGAGCAGGCGGGGGGAGGAGGTCGCCGCGCTCCTGCAGGAGGCGCCACGCGCTCGAGGCGGAGGAGGGACAGCGGCGGGAGGAGAAACCAGCAGGTAAAAGTCTCCTGGACGGAGGAGGCGCGGGTCCAGAGGACAGAGCTGAACGACTACCTTTTCATGGACACACAGAGGCCAGCCTTCATGACGGAACAGCAGACCACAGAACGGCAGCTGAGGACAGAGGACAGAGGACAGAGACGGATCAACAACCAGGTCGACATCAAAACCAGTTTACAGGACTTAAAGTTAGGGTTAGGGTACGGCTCAGTTTTCTGTTGTACGCTTTAAACTCTTGTTCTAGAACAGCTCAAGTTCTGTACAGAGCAACACAAAGTTAGTGACCTGGTGACCTACAAAACATGTTCAAAACCAGAGAGGGGGGCTATAAATTTATTTATTTGTGAACATAAATTCATTCTCCGATTGTCCATAAAACTCTGAAAAGTCTGTGTATTTCTGTTTGTGGTGTTAAACTCTGGAACAGTCTGGACGTCATTTTAAAAATGTCCAATAACATAAAAATATTTAAATCAAAGTATAAAGAAGTGTTAAAAGATTCATATCAGTGAACCAACAAAAATATGGTTTTATACTAAATGTACTTGATTGCATAGAAGTAATATTAAAACACTGATTATTATTATTGTAATATGCAAATAATTATGATAAGTAACCTATGCAGTGTTGAGCAAATATTTTTGTGTATAATATGTAGGTATTTATACAGATCTTTTTAATGTATACAATTAGAATATTTTTAAAACTCTAATTTGCGAGGAAGAGGCAGGACTAGATGAGCTTCTAACCCACTGTACACTGAGTTTGTTATACTTCGTTCAGTCAGAAGTTCAAGTACCTACGGCAAATCGTAACCTCTTCAAAAACTCATTAATTCCTAACGCCATCAGGGCGCTGAATGATAGTAGGCCTATGTCTCCTTAGATCTGCCTGTTAGGTACAGTACATGCCACTGTTGTCCTCCTTTTGCTGCCAAGATGTTTTGTGTGTATTTGTTATGTGTCTGTTGCTGCTGTCCTTGTTGCTGTTGATCTGTTTTTTGTTCACGATGAGACTAAAGACAAATTTCCACTTGTGGACAATAAATGAACTAACTAACTAACTAGCTCTTTGCTTCATTTTCTTTCCTCTCTAACTGTTTATTTTTGACATGTACATATGTTGTGAAAATTTATCTTTGACATGTGCTATGTAAATATGTTTTATTTAGTTTGGTGTTTTTGTTTCTAGCTGTTTTTTGTTGATCTAAAGCTCTTTGTGTTAAAAGTCTGAGCAGGTGTATCTATCATCCAAACACTGAGCAGCTGTGATTGAGAGTCAGACAAACAGCTGACGTCCTGAAACTATCAGGGTCTGAATGTCCTGAAATGATCTGAAAATGTCAGGAGTTCATGTGTAGAAAGGGCTCTGTACATACTGAAGCAAACAGCCTCACTGATTGGACGGTGGGCTGAAATAATCTCAGGTGTTTATGTCTTTGCAGCAGCAGGTGGGCAGCACAAACACTCCAATTATACAGAGCAGATTAAATATAGCCTCTTCTCTGTAAACACACAAATGTACAGCCTCTTTATTATGATCTCCTCCACCCGTCTCAGTGTACATTATTTCACAGCAGACTTTAGTAAGTACAGGTGAGTCACACAGGAAAAGCCACCTGTCCTCTCTGCTGACATTAAAGCTCTAAAACTAATCTGCAGTATCAAACTCAGCTCCCTGACTTCCTGCTTTTACACTTTGGCCTTTGTTTGATTGATGACTGTGGGCGAGGCTGACGCCCAGCAGCCCAAAGGTGAGTGACGAAGCCGCAGAGTCACCTCAACCAAACATGACACATCAGCCAACCATGCGTTCAGAACAACAGGCAGGAACAGGCAGGAACACAGAGAGAGAGAGTGGTCTGATTGAGTCATCCTCAGAGAGAGAGAGAGAGAGTTCCTCCTGAGTCACAGGACAAGTTCATGTGTCCTCTTGTTCTGTATCTGACAGCTCAAGGAGGAAGAATCAGTGAGAGTTCAGGATCTGCTGTTCAGGGACTTCTTGTTTGAAGATCAGAGACTCACAGTCAGAGAGATAATCGTTATCTTCTTCTGCTGTGAGTCTCAGCTTTACTGTTTAGACACTTTAGACAAACACCAAATCAGTTCACACAGAGGTGGAGCTTTACTTTGAAATGTGTATTCCCTTGTTGCCTAAATGTGCGATGTAAATTAAACTGTCATGTTTTTGGGGGGGAGAAAAATAATCAATCCCAACCACATAATCTAGACGCATCAGTCTGACAGTGAAGTTTGATTTAGTGTCACGTCGGTCCAGCTAACTTGTTTACATGTATCTAAAAAGTCAAGTTTTACTCACACTAAGGCATTCATCATTTTTTTTTGAACATGCAAACACACCGCAGTGCAGACACATCGAACTGAGAGAACAGCGACAGCAGAGTGAAAATAAACTTTCACAAACTGGATGGTGAAGCTCATACTAAGAACCAAACAGTCATTTTAGACTGAAAAATCAGCCTGAGCATACTTACAGTACCTTCTTTAAAACCATCAAGACTGAACAAAGGCCCAATATAAACTTCAACACTTTATAGGAGCCACAGAAGAACCCAAACTAATCACACTGATCAATAACTGTAAACTACTGTAGACCAAAGAGCAGCAGCACCAAGAGACCGGACAGTAACAGAGGTTTAAGAATAGCATCAACAGGCGGCTACAAACAGTCAGTAAGTTAATGAATAGTATGTGTCATATTTGATTTTGAAGTTTCAGTCTCTCCCTCAGAAACAGTCATGTTTCCCCTCGCTGACAGGCTGCTGATCAGTCTGATTCAGTGGTTTTGAATGTCAGCTCTTTTGCCGTCGGGTCGTTCCTCTCTGCCCGTTTCATTTCTTCACAAACAGGTTTTCTCTGGTTTGATGCTTTTCTCCAAAATTCTGCTCAGAAACTCGTGATGCTCTGGAGATATACAGTTGAACCGTCGTGTTACAGAGCGATGTTCTCCTCCTCCTCCTCCTCCTCCTCACATCAGCTGTGCTTTACAAGAATACCAAACAGCTATTTTGCTGTCTGTTTACTACACTTTAAAACCCTTCATGCAGCTGACATGTTGAAGCTTGTTGTTGGCACCTCTAAGATTTCCACATACATTAGTTATCTGACCTGAATATTGTCAAAAACTTTCAGATCTGCCAATAATGAACTTTTCAAGCTGTTATCTCCAGGTGCCGATGATGTGCTGATGATTATGTGCAACATGAGACAGTTTTATATCTACATTATATGGTATCACACCCACTGTGGACCACACTAAAGCCCTTACAGACCGAGTGGGACACTCACGCAGGCATCTTGCTGGAGGTTTGCTAAGAATTGCTTTGCAGGCAGAAGGAAGTGCAGAAGGTAGCGAAGCCCGTCTCCTCTGTAGCAGCTCTCCACTACGCTGAGGACCTGACAGAGGACAGTTGGAGATGTGGCCTGGAAGGGCGGGTAGAGGGCTGACAGAGTGGTCTGGATGCAACGGTCCAGAGATTCAGAGTCCTGAGGACAAAAGGAGAAGAAACAGACGGGGTCAATCTGTGAATTTAACCCTGAGTGACGTCTCTCAGGTGTTTGAGGATGGTCCGGATTAAAACCGTAAAACCAACACTGACTGGAGAACATGTGCTGGTGTTTGCAGCTTCACCACACCTCTGCATCACATTCCAGTCGCACAAAGAACAGAGAGTCATTGAACGCCCTCCACCTTTAAAACCTTCATCCTGTTTCTCTTAGACCAAGTGTGAAACTCGGACCTGCCCGCAGGGAAACAGTCAGTCTGCTATTATCTGATCTTTTTGGTCTCTCTGCTCTAAAGGTACATTTGCACCACCAACCGCAGCCTCTTGGACTATTATTAGAGCACATATTTCAGGCCCTGTACTGTGCATTAGTGCTCAGTCAGCTGTTATTCATCCTCGGATTCTGCCAACACGCCTCATATCAGCACGTGTTTAATCTCTGAGCGCTCAGGCAAAAACAAGTTCAACATTTCGAGCTCGCCGCCCTGGGCGTACCCAGCAGGCCCTGTGGGTGTGGCTTAGGGAGATCAGGAACGGGGCTGTAACTGGATCCACTGGTCTGGGAGCGTCAGAGACTGCTCAGGTAAAAATATCAGCCGGCACACGACGTCTGGCTCCAGCTCTCTGACCGACATACAGTTTAATGCTGACGGCGGCGGTTCTCACAGTTTATGTGTGTGTGTGTGTGTGTGTGTGTGTATTTCTGTCTGATCACCCCCCCTTCTGATTCTGTTGGCATGTGATAATACGAGTCTACATCCCTCCACGGCTTTTTAATTTTACCCTCCAGTAACTCATGATTAATGGAGGATGATAAACAAACAGTGTAGTACAGTCACTTTCACTCTTTCACACACACATTCACACATTCACAAAGTGACTAAACCCATCAGTGCGAATCACATTCACCCTCCTGTAGCTACACCGTCACTTTGACAGGTGGATTTAAAGAGATAGAGAGGAAGATTGAACCTGTAACCTTCGATCACACGGAGGTAAATCTGGATAAATCATGAAGTAAAACAGCGTCTCTGAGAAAGATCAGAGGAACACGGTTTGTCAGACGTGTTTTAAGAGGGATTTTAAAAGAAGGAACACCAACCTCTGACAAATGCGTCAAATCTCATCACTCATACAAACATCATATAAGCACTGTCTCTGATTAGTTTATCTCTAATGTCTATTATTCTGAACTTTAAACAGCCGTCTATCATCTATCGATTTAACGAGCGCTGCCTTTAAAAGGAAAAACCTGCCAATGAAGTATTTTTTTGTTTTTGGTGCACGAGTAAAAAACTAAAAGCATTTAGCAGAACAGATTTGACAGAAATGAAACATTAACATTTTTACCTCTGATCACATCAGTGTCTGATCACCTGAAAATAACACCTGTTTGGGTTTTTGATGACCTTCTATTTTTACACAAGAGCGGGTCACTTTCTACGGACGCCACCAACTTTACCATCTTTCTACAGTAACACAAAAAGGAGGAGGGAGAAAAAGAAGAAATAGAAGAAGTAGAAGAGGGAAAAATAGAAGTAGAAGTAGAAGAGGAAGAAGAAGACGAAGTAGAAGTAGTAGAAGAAGAAGGAGAAGAAATAGAAGAAAAAGTAGTAGAGGCATTAGAAGAAGATGACGCAGAAGAAGAAGATAAGCATAAGTAGTAGAAGACAAAGTACAAGAAGTAGAAGAAGAAGTAGAAGAAGTAGAGGCATAAGAAGAGGTAGAAGCTGAAGAAGAAGCAGAAGGAGAAGGAAGAGGAAGACAAAGTAGAAGTAGTTGAAGAAGAATGAGAAGAAGAAGTAGAAGAAGAAGTTTTAGAAGAAGAAGAAGAAGTGTGGTTGTTGTGTGCAATGTTAGCAAAATATCCAAGATGGTCGAGGACATTCTAAAGTCATTTATTTTCCTTTAATCAATAACTGGGTTAGAAAAACAGATTCCAAAGAAACATGTTTGTATTTAGAGACGTCATTAAGCAGCCTCACTACAAGGACAAAGATTAATTAATCATTAATAAAGATAAATCAGCTGATCTGATTGTGGTGAACCTTCCTGACTTTACCTGCTGTGGTCAGTCACACACCAACTCATCCAAACTTCATGTAGACATTTGACTTCAGGGAAGGTCAAAGGTAAAAAATGTCCATCTGCATCCAAACACTGTGAGGCGTGCAGACAGAGCGTGTGTGAAAGAGACTCTGAGGGTGTTTGCACATTAGAGCTGCTGTCTCTGTTCACCACCAACCAAACATCAGAACAATGCCTGCAGCACCCTGAAGCTCATGGTAAATCATAACAGGGTGGAGTGATGACGAGCTGATTAACCTGTGACACTACATGTAGAGCAGAGAGTGGATTCCCACTGCTTCCAGTTATAAATCATCCTTTTCACCCAGCAACACGGACGGCCTTCTCCATCAGTCTCTGCTGCGCTGCTGAATATTCTGGATGTGACTCAGCTGGTCGGGATTCACACACAACAGCTGGCAGCCAAAAGCAGTTCTGAGGCCAATATTAGCAGCAGGATATCAGATGACACGAGAGGAGGGTGGCACGGGGCTGAAGGGGGGTGTTTGGGGGGATTTTTGTGCCGCTGAAAGGCCTGATGACCCGACTCACAGATCATGAGAGCAAACTGTTGACGCAAGCGAAGACAGAACCTCTTTTGGACCGGAGCGAGCGCCTAAGTCAACAGAATTTCACAGCATCATGAACAGGTCACTCCAACGGTGTTTTTTAAAACTAACTTTTAAACAGTAAAACACACACACACACACACACACACACACACACACACACACACACACACACACACACACACACACACACACACACACACTGACTCGGTCTGCAGGAGCTAAATCATCACCGTCTTTTGAAGCTTCAAACTTACATGAATTTATGAGCTGACACTCAGCAGTAAATCCGTCTCTGTTGGTTTGTGTTTTGGCCTGAAGCAAACTCTCTAAACTTCATCTCAGTTTGTATTTAAAGAGTTTGAATTAAGTAGAAACCTGACTGAGAGAGACTGATTAACATGACAGCACATCTTTCATGTTTGAGTCGAACTCTGAACTATTCAAATGACAGGGATTGGATCAATGTTTAGGGGAGGCGCCTTCCCACTAGAGCTGGACGATGAATCGAATTTTAATCATGATTTTGATTTTGGCTTTTCAAGATCATAAAAAATTTTAATCGAAGAAAAATGATTTATACGTGAGTTCATATGCTGGAAAAACACCTTGAATGAACCTCTGTTACGTGCAGCTGCAGCAAGTGTGTGACGTGTGTGGATCAATAATATGCGGAGTGAGCGATTGAAAACTTGAAGGACAACTACAGGATAATAAAATGATCAAGTAAACAGGAGAAGTAAACAGAATGACTGAACATGGAGCTGAGGGCAGCAAAACAGATGTCAGCCATGACTTTGAGTCATCCTCCGAAGATGTTGTTGTTGAAAAGTTTTTCAACGTCGGTTGTGTGTCCGTGGTTCATGTATCTCCAAAGTGATGTTGAGTAATTAAGCCGATGGGTAAGGTTTGTCTGTGATCGGTTCCCCTCAGAACCGGCAACACAACAGATCTGTTTGATCATCTGAAGAAGTTCTTCCCAAGTGATTATGAGTCTGTACAGCCTGTCACTGCTGACAGTACAAGTAGCATTAGCAGTTTAGCTACAACTAGCGATGCAGTAACCAGAAGAAAGGAGCGATCAATCATATCATCGACGTTTACATCATCTAATGTTTACATTTTAAGTCGTCTTCATTACCTCTGAGGGGGACATTTGTTTATTTTGGGTCTTTTTACCTGCAAAAACACTCAGGACTGTAAACTAATTCACTGTGTTACTTAGTATTTATCTATATTTGTTGTTCTATTGAAATAAAGTGTTTTTTATATTTTTCTAAGTTTATCTTATTTAATTTACTTTATTATTTACTTTGTTAATACAATGTTGAACTAATCTCTAGTTTCTTTAGTTTTTAGTACAGATGCTTTAAAACAGGCATCGTGATAATTGAGATCAGACGATATGACAAAATATATTGTGATTTTTCTTTTTTGCCAAATCGCCCAGGCCTAATACAAAGCATAATTCTTTCTCTTCCAGTAGCTTTATTCTCTCTTTGTTCCGGGGGTCCGATATGTTGTGTTATTTGTTTGTTTGTTTATTTGCAGAGGTACATATATCAATGCAAGAAAATGATTTTAAGACTAGGGGTGGATGCATGGTCACTAAAAACCATCAGTTCTATAATTCTTCATTATCAGTTGAATTGTGCTGTTTATGATGATCTTCAACTCTTCGCCTCGTCACCAGACTCCTGTTGTTGAACTAAATGTACAGCTTCTGTATTGCTGAGCATGAGGGGCACCATTGTCTACCAATCCCAGTACTGGAGGCTAAATCCCTCAGCACAAGCTGGACTGCCCTGGGGCGAACTGGGTGTATGTATACGTGCGTGTAAACCCCAGTGGAGCAAACTCAGCGGTAAACCCTCTGTGTGATTCAGTGACAGTAAAAAAATAAAAAACAGCTCAGTGATGCAGGAAAAAAAGGAAATGAGAGTTTACTACAGCACACAGAAAATGTTAATCCAACTGTAGGAATACAGAGTATATAAATGTGAGGATTACAGAATTAAGACTGCAGCTTTGCCATGTGAAGGAGGGTGAGGAGGGGTGAGAAAGGGTGAGGAGGAGGGACATCAAAGCAGACTGAGCGAGGTTCCCATGAGACTGAAAGAGGCCACCCACTCAGAGACCCTGCTGAATAACTTCATTATCCTCCACAGACCAGACCTCAGCCATAAAACACACCGTTTGATTTCATTTGGAGTTTCATTATTCCAGAGCTCTTACTGAGGGGAACAACGCTTTCAAAACTTCACTCCAGAGATCATCCACAACACAAACAGACAATTAGGACAGGGTCAAAGGGCAGGGGTCACAGCAGTGGATTTGAGGCTCCTTCCTGTGCAGCGCCTTCAGGCAGAGCGGTGTCTTTGTTTAATTTTGTGTGAGACGAGGAAAAGCAAAACCAAGAATCTGGAAATCTAGAATAAATGACGGATATGAGCTGGAAAAATGTGTAATTTATCACAGAGGAACAAAAACGGACCTGAGTGAAGTTTGAGGTGAGACTTTCACCTGCTGGATCACAGACTAAGTCAGAGTTAAATCACAAACAAACATGAACAGGTGTGAGTCTGCAGCAGCAGAATACACACAAGGTCACATGACCGGTCCATCAGCATGTTCCTGCAGAGCCGACCCGCACAGAGATTATCAGACAGTGTGAATCCAAACTCCACTGTCATGGCTGTTTGATTGTTTTTTCCTGAATCCGTAAATCTGAACGTTTCATCACAGCTAAATCTCTTTGTTGAAGGTTCGTATCAGCAAACTAAACTCGACTTTCTAAATGGAGTGAAACTGTCACTCACCAAAACTGATAGGCAGTCGTCCCACAGTGGAAATGAAGTCAGTGTCGCTGATATCCAATCTGAGAAATCCTGGCACCAAATCAAGCTAACAGTTCAGCAGACAGGGCAGGGTTCAGCCTGAGGCTGCTCCAAGTAGAAGTTCATCCAGAAACCGTCGCTGAAGGCAGAGGGTGATGAAACCAACCGAGCAGAGTGCGACTCTGGAAGGTGGCGTGGACCTGAACATGATTTCAAAACGCATCCAGACGAGCGGTTAACGGCAGGTTTTATATGACCTCCTTTATCCCAACGCCAAAAATACATAAAGATCCATGGATATCAGGAAAAAAAGGCCAACCTTTAATCCAAACACAGCTCCACAGAAACAAGAAGAAGTCCGTCCAGCTTGTTGTGGAGCTGTAGTGAAATGTCACCAAACAATCATGTACAGTAATAATGATTATTGACTCATTCACTGATCATTAGTATTATGAGCCGGGACAGGAGAGACCAGACAGACCTGATCCACGTGAACTAAACAAAGCCAGGAATGATCAGCTTCTGATGGACACCTGAACATCTGTAAATATGACGGCTGTAAACGGGTTCATGTGTTCATACCAGACTGGTTTGGTACAGCTAATTCAGATCCACATGAAGAACACATGGAAGTCTGATTAGCTGACGTTTGCATGTGTTAATCATTCCCTTAAAGCTCCGACATGCAGACAGCAGAGGAGCTGCAGCGACACCATAAAGCAGCGAAACTCAACATGGTTATTTCCAACAGGGTGACTACTTTGGTATAAATATTGACCTGTTATGTGACAAACAGACTTGCATGAAAAAAGGAAAATCTGCAGACATTTGACACTTCAGGAGCAGCTCATTTTGAACCCTGCATTATGGTTGTAAAGAGAAGTTTCAGAGAGCGTAGAGCCTGGTTTATAGGTGCCTCACTCATGTTCACAGGTTTGACACTTGTCTATCAGTTTAAAGGTGTCCCATATTCTGAGGTGATGCTTCAAGCAGACCCCCAGGTTTGATTCCAGCCTTTCTTTTATGTCTCCTCCTGCTCTTTCTCCCCATTTCCTGCTCTATTCACATTCCTGTCTTCTTTAATAGAGACACAAAAATCCCCAAAACTAAAATAATTTCTTCTCCTTACCCAAAATGTACCAAACCAAGACTTCAATAACAAGAATTGTACGTTAGCGGGAATATTTTAGACGGCTGCACCCCTGGTTGCCATGGTTACCTGGAGTAAACAACTCTTTGGTTGCCGTTTTCTGTGGAAATGATATCCAGGACTTTTCTTTTAAGAAAATGGAGGAGTCAAAATCTCGTTAACATAAGGCTGGTGCAGTGAACTACAACTCCCAGTGTGCATTTCACATGTTAGCAGCGTCAACCTTTACAGATGAATCTCTTTAGACCAGCTCAGTCAGATTAGAGTCAGTTTAAGATGAAGAAAATAACAGCAGCAAAGTTCTTATTGGTTCCCTCACTAAAGCGTCACCCTCTAAGGCTCATGGGTAATATTCTAGCCCACCAATCACACAAATGTAAAGTTCAATCTTGTGTTCGAACAGAAATCTCGTCCCGTGACTTAAATTCAGGGACCCTAAACCGTGTCACGTGTTCCGGACTTCCAGGGTTTCTGATCACAGACAACAGGCTGTTGTTTAATCATCCAGATGGAGCCTGTAGGATAAACTAATCCAATCTCTCAGGTTCTTCTGGTTCTAATGAATAGTCAGTGGCAGGCTCGCTCTCCCTGGAGGGCTATGATTCATCTGCACGACTGCTCAGCTGACTGCTGATGGAAAAACCAGTTCCTGCTCCTGCTGGGTGTGGAGGACCAGGGTGCAGCAAATAACAGGGTCACTGTCAAGAGCCCGGATCCTGATCTGAACCTACAGATATACCCAGTGAGGTCCAACATTAATAGAAACATGTGGTTAATATGTGATTGAACGTGTTTAACTCGAACAACCGGAGCACAAGTGGGGTCACGGTCTCCTAAAAGCAGAGTTCATGACCTGTTTTAGGAACCAATCATGGTGACACGGCACTGGGAGGGAGGAGCTCTAAATGCAAGGGACCCACAAGAGACTTGACCTTTGACCCCCCCCCACCAATGAACACAGTGACAGACTGGGCCAGCTGTCGTTTGGGGTGGAGGTTGTTAGGAGCAGTCAAGACACAAACCCACAACGACAACCCCACACATTTCAACACAACCTGCTGAATCTGGACTCTGAGATATCTGATATATTATTATAGATTATTGAATTTACCTTCAGGGATCAATAAAGTTCTTCTTCAGCTGGCTGTTCTGACAGACTCTGCTCTTGTAATGACTGTCACTCAAATCTGCTGTACTTCCTTTTTAACCAGGTAAGACTAACTTATGTAACAACCAGAGCCAACGCTGTTTCTGATTCTCGCTTAAACAACAAATCAGATTTTTGCTTCTCCGAACCACAGACACATGATATCAGAGAGAAATGCAGAAGTTTCTCACACTCCACACCTACATGTCAGAATAAGAGAAGGTTGAGAACCCCTTAAAGCGTTTTTTAATGAACCTCACACACGTGTGATGTTCAGACCTGAATGTCACAGTCCCTTCAAAGTGAAGCAGAAATCATTTTTTTCTGCCAAGACTTAAAATAATCAAAACGTTTACGGCATGACTCGACTTGATCTGAAGAGGGCTCGGTTTGAATTCCCTAAAGAGATCAATTTACATCTTTTTCTGGAAGACAGGTGTTAAACTATTAGATTTCTACAACCTTCACCTCCTGTGGAGAGTGATACTGAACTAAGGTACGGACTCTGAAACACAGAATCCGGGAGTATGTCATTCTGAAACTGGACTAACCTCAAAACTACAGATCTGAGTCGAGCTGTCACAATCCCAGATTTTAAACTTCATTAGGACAGTAGGACTCCAGTGATACCGATACCTGTTTCATTACAACAACATGTAGGGCTGGGCGATATGTCCTCAAATCAACATCACAATATATTGATCAGTTAACCTCAATAAGGATAAATGGACAATAACTCCTCCACAAGCTGCTCACCCCCTCCCACATTAACTTTGTCTACTTCAGCCGCTCCAACTTTTGAACCGTCCTCCATCTCCTCACCTGTCTGGATGGGGTGGAGTCACATCTCTATTTATGTTGACACCGAATGTACCGATAAGGGCAAAATGACTTCGGTTATTGTCGTAAATTTCAGTGTTGGTAAATTTTTGGTTCATCACCCAGCCCTATCTTCTAGATTCTCTTGATGTTATCAGTCTCTGTGTTGTTATGGGAACCCCGTGGCACTGATCTCTCTCCTCTGCTCTCAGTCTGTCTGCAGCAGACAAACATTTTGATTATAACTATATTGGACAAAAGGCACTTTAAGAGCATCAGTGTTAGCCTGCATGTGAATAAAGAGAGTAAGCGGTAAAAGAATGGAGTTAATGGCTTTTGTTTTTGGTCATTAGACGGTAACACACACTCACACACAGCCTCACCTCTCCTCTCTGAATACACACACCGGTGTTCCTCCACACCTCTTCCTGTTGTTTCTTCGTTATTTTAGTCACTGACTCGCCCGACTTGCGTGTGGGAGTATAATGTTGTTTCTACCCACTGCAGGGTTGGGTAGACTGTCCACAAGTTCATCTAACGTAGACGGTGATCGTCTCTAACATTAGAAAACAAAAGACCAGTTCCTCCTACACATATCCAACTCCACCACTGAACAATCTGATCTGATGATGGTCAAATCCATCTGTGGTCATATTTCCTCTGTAAGAAGCTGCTTCACATTAGACTAATATAACTATATGACCTCGGGTGAATTGTGACTTTCATTAACAAAAGAATTTTACCTTTTAGATTACACACAGGAACACAGACCACCTCTGTTTTCTTAATTATTATTTTAGTCCGGAGGTCCAGCAGGAGGTAACCTGAGTCCTGTGTGAACCTGATTCTCCTCTGGTGTTGTTTTACATCTGCTCCAGTTATTTCTTCATTCCTACATTTCCTCCTCTCATAATGACTTTGCTTTGTTCCCTTTGTTGTTTTCACCTCTGTTCCTGTCTGCTGTTACCTGCCGCAGCTTGTTTTCAAGTCACACTGGATCCAAGATTCATCTGTCAGATTGGATCTGGCTCTTTGAATGACGCGCTGGAATGAGAGCTGCGCAGATATAGGGCGAGATTATCGTCGATGCGGTAAAGTGATCAGAGCGAGCGGCAACAGTTGGAGCTCGGGGGGGAAAACGTGAGATGTGAGATGAGAGCGAGTGCCAGGCTGTTATGTTTCAACTGATAAGAGGAATGTGTCCGGACAGATCCACACTCATTCATACTGTACATCAACACAAACACACCAGAGTCTGCACAGCCTACAAATGATTTAGAGAGAAAGGATTCTGATTTAGTATTCTGCAAAGTTTTTATGCAGAGTGCATGCTCAGATTTTTGCAGTTATGCTGGATTTATATCATTTGTGTTCTCTGATTCTTATGTATATGTTTGCACACACTGTTCCCACTTGCTGCTGAGAGCATCACGTCCCTCTAAAAGCTGTCATGAACTGATAATAATACAATGATTTTAAATAGCAAACAGGTTTAGGCAAAACACTGAAACTTTTGAAACTCTGTTAACATGCAAAACATGCTTAAGTTTTTTTTTGTGTGACTTTCTGCAGAGCTGGAAAAAAAATACTGCAGCTCATATTTTCAGAGTTTAACTTCAGCTTCTTCTAACCGGTCTGTTCAGTCGGCAGATTAATCGCCACCATCAATCCTGCTTATCAATCCAATTCTTTATCAATAATGTAGATTTGAAGTGTGGTAAAAGCGGCTAATACAAGCCTTCTGTGTCAACAACACAAAGTTTTCTGGCTTTTGATCGAGCTTTTAAAGGTCAGCTGATTGTAGATTTAACATCTGACTGTTTGAGTGACCAAAACAAAGATGGCAGCCTTCCACTGGCACCAAAGTTCACAACAGAGGTGACACTTGTGCAATATAGGCATGTGCGTGGGTTGTGTGACTGTGTCTTTGTTAGGTCTAGTACTTTGTGATATCAGTTGGCAACTTTATCTGTTCAGCTCTTAGAGTCCAAGACATATTTCCCTGAGGGGACAATAAAGTGTATCGTACTTTTTTACCAAAACAAATTCGCTGCCACAGATGACCTTTATTTTTGAGGAACTGGATCTGAACGGTCTCTGAAAACACACTGATCTTCTCTGTGGGATGGAAAAGCTCCTGGACATCACAGAAACACTCAGCATGGACTGTCGGAAAGTTGCTGGTCTACCGAACTGAGTGGATTTTAAAGTCTGAATACTGGAGATGAGGTGTCAATGTAACTGAACCGTCATCCCGGCCTTATAGTCTCTGTCACCTACTTTCATCTAAATTGCTTACAGGGTTTTTGAGTGAATGGCAATCCATCAACATCAACATTCACAACAATTTAAGCACACTACTAACCACACATTATATCTGTTTTCAACTACAGCCAACCAGCTGTAACTGTGGTCCAGAAAACATCTTAAAATATGCCTCAAAATTCCAGAGAAACACACGCAGACACTGGGAGATCAGGCCCAAGAATCAAAGTACATTAACTGAGTTTTGGAAAAAGGTTTGAGTTGAAATCAGAGGAGGAAAATAGATTTACCACTCAGGTATTCAGAGTAACAGCGGGCGTCCACTCAGCATGGATCTCCAAACCAAACTCTTTACGACCGGCCCTCACTGTCTGTTGTCTTTGTGTCTGCCTCCTGTGTTTTCACAGGAGTTCACACCTTCATGAGAGAGGACAGCAGCTGAGGAGGAGGAGGAGGAGGAGGAGGAGGAGGTCCATCCATCCCGCACTGACATAAACCTCTCTTCATAACAGGGTTAGGACAAAGACGTCCAAACCTCACCGGCTGTTTTAAAGGCCGGCGCCACAGAGCTGAGAGTGATAGTGCGGCGCGATGACCTTGACACACAGTGAGCTCCTCCAACAGGAGATTAGATTTGAGCGTTTCTCAGACAATGAATGATTTCTAACACTGCTCAATGAGCAGAGCCCAGCTGTGCAGACTTCAAGGCCGGTCCACAGAGCTCCTTTGTAGAAATGAAGAGGTAATGCATCAGCCCCTCTGAGACCTGCTGTGATTTAAGCACCGAGCTAATCTCCCTCCACTGACAGGCTCAAAGAGGCTGCAGGAGCACTTCAGATTTACAAGGAGGAGAAATCTGCAACCTCTCACAGGCAGCAAAGGTAGAAATCAGACCCTCAAGGATGAGGGGTGAGATGAGGAGTCAGCCCAACAACCTGACAGAGTTAGGAGGAAAATGACGTACAAGGAGAGCAAGCTTTCTAAAGACGACCTTTGTTTTTGTGCAGGAGGACGGCTGTTAAGGGGTGGACGAAATGGAAAAAAATTCAATCAAAAATTTGATTTTTTTTTCTCTTCAAAATCTCAATTTTATCATTGAGAAATGATAAATAAAATATCCAGATTTTAACAACGAACAGCAACGAGCATATCATTTGATGTTAAACGATTCCGATCGCGGCTTCTTCTTCGTCAGTAGACTCCGGCATCGAAACTTGGACTCAAAAATTTTAAATTTGAACGATTCCAGAAAAATCGAAATGTTAGTCCCGGTCCCCATCGATTCTGGATACCCAACCCTACTTCCAATGCCTCGTCCACAGTTAGGCAGACGAGTAACAAAATTACAGAAGATTACAGATTTACGAGTTAGCACAAGAACACTTAAGTACTTTCATCACTTCGTCAACAGTATTGTGTAACAGTCGATAAGGTACAACAGCAGTATGTGAAGATTCAAGCTCAGCAACAGTGGAGCTGTTGTATGTGTGTATTTGTTCCTATTAGCTTACTCTTTCAACGTGATGAGTCAGACAGCTGTTTCTTCAGGTTGACTGAATTTTCACAGCGAAACGAGTCGGTGATCCCTGTTAGCTTGTTTGATCTGCATGTGCGTACTATCATTCACGTGTCTAAAAGATCCGAGCCGAGGAGGTGAGAGCACATGTCTGGAGCTTCTCTTAACAATCCAGATGTGAAATCACTCTTAGAGGGATTATAAGGTGTGTTGGCAAACAGATGAGGCAACAAGCGAATTGGCTTTATCAACTCTTTATTTCCCAACCTGAGGGTCGTGTTGTGAAAGACTTTCAGTTTATGGATTATCCTGAGGACAGATTAAGCGGATTAAAGTCATGCTAAAATCTCATCCTTGATGTGATGCACGTTGGTTTTAACTCCGCGGTTAGATTGTTGACTCTGTGCAAAGGTTAGATCACTTTCATAAATGTCCCAAACGAACAGTTAACACTTTCCTCACTGCTGTCCCACTTTTCAGAGAAGATGGCACCTTTCATTTTTCACATTTGCTTTGTCGGGGAAAAACGCTGCTGAGAATCTCACTTCAAGTCAACGCAAATGTCTGTGATAAATGTCCGGTTTAGGACCTATGGGGAAACTGGTTCTCCTGCCATTTGTGGTATTTCTCCACGGAGGAGATCTTAAGAAATCTGCTCTTCTTCCTTGTCTTCAAAACAATGGAAGTGAAAAAAGAATATTGATATCGACAGATGAATAAAAGTCCTAAAATGTAAATACACAATAATCAATAATATGATCTATGAATCTCTGTAGATCCTTCAGCTGTCACCTCTCAGTGAAGCGGGTCAACATTTAACGGTCCAGAGGGAGTCTTCTTTTGATGGGTGTCAGATTCAGGTGGTGGGTGCCGTGTGTTTTTTCGATGGCGGGTGTTTTCCCAGAAGATGGAATTGGGGGTCGATGAGGTTTCAGGTTTCAGACAGGCGAGAGACCTGAAGATAAATCTTCTGGATCTTCAATAACACTGCCTCATTGTGCTCCCTCCTCTGGAGCCTGAAACCTGGACTTTGTAGTTCACCGTCCTGTGACTGTCATATCCGAACAACATGGCGCTGAACCCCCAGGATAAGGGACACTTCCTGTCACTGACAAGTCCTGAGATATGAAAGCCTTTCTGGGTGAACTGAAGCCTTCAGGTCCAAAGGATGAACTCCCTTCTCTGACATCTGACCCGCGGAGAGGAAGCGTGAAAACAGCTTCCATCAGGACCTGAAGAGGCGCCCAGTGGGTCAGTGTGTTAAACCTGATCCAGAGAGCTGAGGCGGCCCTGCTCACAGACAGAGAGGCCTCTTCAGTCTGCAGACTGAGGCCAAACATCTCCAGGAAAACAAACCACAGATCAACTAGTAAATCATTTCTCCTGATCAGTCAGTTTCATGGTTTCGATTCGTCACAGGACAATTGAAAGTCACCTTTCATCTGAAAAAAGAAATCAGGTAAAAAAATCAGAAACTTTTTTTACAGAACTAAAACTCTTGTCATGTCCGACAAACTTCTACCAGATGTGAAATTAGTCTGGAGGCCTCACTCCGAGACCACCAGTCCAGGACGTTTTTTTTTTTTGTGGGGGGGTTTTCAAAGTAATGTGGATTATGTGAATTACTCTGAAGGGTGCCATCCATCCACCGATTTCCTCTTTCTTATTTGGGGTTGGACGGCGGTGAAAACACGTGGTCCGAGGACTGACAATGGTTTTATCGTATTTACAAATGATTAAATATGTTCTGTTGTGTGTGATCTGAATCTTGTCCATGCAGAGCCTCAGTCTTAGACTTCCCTGAGCTTCCATCCTTTGACCTTGTATCAGTTTCAGCAGACTGTCTTGGCCTTGACTTAATCTAGAAAGTCCTTCAAAGACTTGTGTTGTCTAGGTGTGGGTCCTCCAAAGTACTGGTCTTGGTACATACCCTCTGGTCTTGGTCTTTATTCTACGCTTTGGTCTTGACTTGGTCTTTGCGCTGACTGGATCTCAATCCTTCAAAGACTTGGTCTTAACTTGTTCTTGAGACCCTCTGGTTTGGGGCTGGACCATGACTCCTCCCAAGTGTTTGTGTTGATTGAGACTCAATCCCCCAAAGTCTTTTCTTTGTCTTGACTTCAACACTCTAGATTTGGTGCTCTCTCAGTCTTGTCATGTCTGGGCCTCACTCTGGTCTCTATGAGTAGGGACTTGGTCTTAGTCTTGGTCTTTGTGTTTCTCCCAATCATGACATCTCTCCATTCTTCATTATTCCAGGTCTTTCCTCTTATATAGATGTAATGCTGCTTTAGAGCAGAGTGACATTAAAGCAGTAATAACTTACTTCTTCATGTTTCTTCACATTTGATCGAAATCCTCCTTACTGTCAGTTTTGTTTTCACCTCCTGAGCGTGGGGACCAATATCTCCTCACAGCTGTCCTGTATATTTAACATCTGCATCAGGAGACGTATTCGGGGTTGTTCATACAGAAAGGGAGCAGACAGTGAAGCGGGCCAATAAAGTCCCTCCGTTGCATTTCTCCTTCTGTATGTAATCTATCCTGATGTAGTCTCCATCTGCTCTCCTGGCAGCTCTATCTGATATTTTCGGCTCTATTTTCCAAACACTGGCGGATATTTTAGGACGGCCAATACAACTCGACGGTCAAGTTGTAATGTTTTGGATGTCAGACAAGATTAGCTGCATAACTAGAGCAAAATATTCAATTACAACTGCAGCACTACAGGCATGAAGGTTCATCTTATTTTGGGGATCGATCATGTGAGTTGAACATACGTGTTACTGAGAGATACGGGATCCAACGGGAAAACTTAATCGTCAAAAAATACAAAATTAGTTGTGATGTTTGATTTCTTGATGAGAGGAGGACTGCAGAGCCCATCGTTTCACGTTCTGCAACGATTCAGCAAACCACTCACAGAAACGGCAAATGTAAATTTAGCCATTTTTTAATCTTCTGGATGCCACAGAGTTTCATATTTCATTTAGTAAAACACAGAAAGTGAAGTCCTTTCTTTGAGTTATTGATCACACTGAAATTAAGGTGAAAAAAAAGGGAAGAGGTGATGAAAATGTACGTGTAGACAGAGAACAGCAAATATCTGTAAATGCAGGAATTTCATTTAAGTTCTTGTTCTTATGGCGCTCCCATGCTGACTAATCTCAGGGTTTCAGGTCTGCGCTGTTTGAATTTGTAGGTAGCGACGTTTTTAGATGCTGGTCAGGTTACAATTGCAGGTTTCTGTGTAAATTCAGGGCTAGTACATTAATGACAGTGTAGATTTGATGCAGAAGTACAAACGAGGCTCTGTTAGGTCACTGATATAAGGATGACAGATAAACTATAGAGTTTCACAATAAAAATAAGGCTTTTCTACTGGCCTGTCAGCATATCCATTACCTTCAAAGATCCCTACTTAAAGTCAAACTGAGCTGTTTCGGCATTAAGAGATTAGCTGGGGTCTAGAGGGGGACATAAATCTTCACAGGTTGTCATTTCCAGTTATTGATCAGTGAAAATCAAACCGTCTTCTTGATTTAAGACGCAGCTGAAGTGCTGAAATGTTATGAGCACATTTTAACACATCCTGCTGATGACTACACGCTGTTCTTTTGTGTAACCTCGTCAGCCTCCATCCGTCAGTACAAATCCATTATTCAAGTGTTCCCAGCATTCCTGCAGCTTCTCATGACTCTCTGCCTCCCCCGTCTTTTCACCCAGCAGCCCCTCGACAAGTCCCAACATCTCTGACTCTGAAGAAAAGCCCGAACATGCCTCCTTTCTCTCTTCTCCTCTTTTCTTATCTTTGTCCATTAGAGATGGTGCAGAGTGCAGCGCTGCCAGGCATTAGACTATACACAGACTGATGATGAAAAAACTCTTTTATTTACGACACAAAAAAGCACTTTCTTTAGTCCAAATTTCCACCACTTCATCTCAGGGACATGTGGACTCTGCT